AGTTAATATTATAATAAATCATCATTTTATAAAATTGTATTATATTTATAATTTTAATTTTTTTTAATTAACAAAAATTCTTAAAAAAATTGTTTATTTTATTATTTTATCAAATATCAAACATCATATGAAATAATTATCACTTTCTATCTGGAAGTATTAAGCAAATCTCAAGAATATTTTTGTTTCTTTAAATGAAATATATTTTTATTTACATCTCACTTAGTAGGCAAGAACTTAATAAAATATAAAATATATATATGTACTTAGATATCAATGATATAAAATATTTTTTTTATATATTCTATACTTTATTTTTATTTTAAATAATTTTTATCAATATAATTTTTTATTAAAAAATTATTAGCTATTTCAATACTCAAAAAATTATCTCTTTTAATCTCAATGATATTTTTAAACTTATCTATGAGTAAATCATACACTATATCTATTACGAAGTTTAAAGTAACAAACAATTCGAAGAAATCATAACATATAATAAAAAATGTATATCTAATATGAATAATAGATATAAAAAAATAATCAGTAAGAATATTTCATATATATAATTATATTTCAAAATATATAATTTATAGAAAATGAAGGTGAAAATGGATTTTTACCTGCAATGACCATATCAAGATACTTCATATCTTGTACAGCATCATAAGTCAGTTTGCCATTTCTGCTGTCGATGGCATCTTGTATGTCGCGTCTCGTTTTTTCCTGAATTTCAGTATTCAACGCTAACTCATGAAGACAGAATGCAATAGTGTTCGACGATGTTTCATAGCCGGCGGCGAAAAACACAAACGCTTGTGCTGCAATGCTGTTCTCGTCCAATTCTATAAATAACAGCGCCTTATATGATAAAGTTCATGAACATAAAATTTCTTTATAGAATATATTCATTTAATGATTAAACGTCATAAATTCTTCTAAAATATAAGTATGTTTCTAAGAAAAAAATGAAGTTTTAATTTTAATGGATTTTTAATTTTTTAATTTTTTATTATTAGTTACGAATCAGATTATTATAAAAATCATGTAAGTATATTTTATTTATTGAAATATATGATATTGATTATATTTAAATTAAATAAATATGATATATTTAATAAATTGTTCCATTTTTCTTGTATAAAAAAATTTAAATCTCGCAATTAAATGCAAGTTTCAATTATGAATTGATAATGTTCCTGTTTTATAAATGAAATATTTATTAACTTAACAATTTTATTGCTATTATGTGAATCTTGTGACAACTATACATATGGAAAGCACTTACTGTCAATTTTATCTTGATTAATTTGTTAGGGAATTGCATCGTTTGTAGTTAATCATTACAACTGTTTGAAGCATGCAATGAACAGCTTATATTGAGTGAAGAGACTTATCAATTATTATGTAACTTTCTTCTTTCATTGATACAATTAAATTACTAGGAAACAGTGCGAATCAGTATAAAAATTAAACCAGTATATCTCCAATAATAATTTTCACATATTCTAAATTTTATTTGCAATTATTGTTTATTCTATTACAATGTTATATATATGTAATATTTCAAAAAGGTGATATAGTATGAGAACTAAATTTATAAATTTTTATATTTTAAATATTTATCTATTAATATTTTTTATCTATTATTATTTCTTTTAATATTTTGTTCTAATTTTGTTCTTATATTGAATTTAAAACTATTATCAGATGAATTTTTTTTTAATTCGTTATCATATTTAATATTTGAAAATAAAAAATGATAATATATTCAATATATTGATTAATATTTCTCTAAATTCATTTAAGAAAAATTCATTACAAGAAATTAGAAATTTATTGTTTTTTCGAAAAAAAATTTGTATTACCGTACGATGAAACAATGCAACACTATCAAACCACATGTTAAAACGAACGACATTTCTCTTGTAAAACGTACAATTTATCTTCGTATAAAGTAATCTATATAAATGATACAAGCACAGCGATACACTAAATTTATCCAGTTTCAACACTTTCGCAAGTATTTTCGTGTTTTTCCTCTTCGATTTGAACTATTATCATTTATCTGCATACATGCTTAAAAAATTAACATACCTATTTCATCTGCTGTTTCTGCGTCTTCATCATTGCAAACCAATCCACTTCCAGACTCATCTAAAGTACCTTTATTTTTTAATTCAATTAATAAATCCATAAAATCATGTCTTTTAATACCATATTCTTCACGTTGTTTAATCATCTGCGATACAACATCTTTAAAAAACTCGGTCACTTCAGGATCTATCACCTGAACCCCTAAAAATTTGTATAATCTTGGCATAGCAGTTCTGAGCATCCTCCAAAGAGTAGCTTTGTAACTTGGTTTTGAAAGTTTCTTAGCAGCTCTATGAAATTCAGATTCCTCATCAGTAAGCGCATTTATTTGTATGCCAAAGGCACAAGTACCAATGACGTCTATTGTAAATTTTGCGGCCAATTCGCGAATCTCATATGGCCGATCGGTTTCGGAAGATGTATCGATTAATTTTTGAAATTCTTCGCTACATTCTGCTAGCAGATAGAACATTCTTTTCAATTTTCCGGATGAAAAGGCTGGAGTCAATTTTGATCTCAAACTTTTCCATTTTTTCCCTTCTAAGTTAAACAGATGGGCAGATAATGGATCCTGGTAAAAAGAAAACATTATTTAATTAGCTTTATTTTAATATTATTCATTATGTATTTTACATTTTTTAACTTATTTTTAGCGAAATTTTTTTTTCTAAACAATGAAATTTTTTAGTTAAAAAAATTTAATATCAAAAGTAATTTATAAAATAAAAGTAAAATAAAATAAAATAAAATTATGGTTTAAATATTTAATATGTAAAATCAGCGATGCTTGAAACCAATTCTCAACGAAATTCATTTACGAAGCAAAATATTTTTCTTTTACCTGGGAGTTCACTGGTATACCACGATTCGAGAAACAAGTAAAGTTTTTTACGCAAATGTTCTTCACGAGATCTGGATCTCGTACGATCAATACAGGCGATCTAACACGGAATGCTCCAAAGTATTTTTCATTTTTGAACCATTCGTACATTTCTTTTATACCTTCTGGTAAAGATTTCCGGAACAATAACATGGGAGCAAAATTTCCGAATAATACAGTGGGTTTTCGAAAGGGTACACCGCGATTCTTCCAAAAGTTAAATGTGGAAGTAAGAAAACAATATAAAATACCTAGGAATAATCCCGGTAAAAGAAATTGTTCCAATAATTCTCTTATTATGTTCCACATTTTGAACCCGATAGAATTTTTTTAGAACTTTTTATTATATTGTATTTATATAATTATCTTCTTGAATATGATATTTATAATCACAGCACGATTGTTGTATTTTTTATTTATTTTTTTTTATTTAACATTAATAGTAATATTTATTATGTATCGTATTAAAGATTATGTGTATAATGTAATACTCTGATAAATATTACTATAAAATTTTTTCTTTTTAATAGCTCACTATATATATAAATAATTTATTACATATCATTTCTCTTTTCTTTTTCATTTTGAAATAAAATTATACATACAGGACATTACGTTTTACCGGAACGTCAGAGTGCACCGGATATCGGTTCAACGTTATCGATGCGAGGTCAACGGTAATAATAAAACAAAGGATTACTTGATGTTTGTCGCGGTTCGAATTACGCAGTTCGATATTCCAATCGAATCCCTAGAGCTGTTTATAAAAGTGGAAGTACACTTGTCGGTGAGACTGACTCACGAGCGCGCATATTTGCACTCTCTTGTTTCTCCTGGTGAAATGTCAATGATAGATGTTCGCTCGAATTTTCTTGCTCTGCGGTACGATTTGTACGCGCAGATGTTTCGTGTAAGCACGTGATTACCAAACATCAATTTCAATATTCGAATGTTAACAGTATGTTAATGATTGTATTTAACACTATTTATTTGAATTCTAATCGCTTTACTAATCATTTTACCAAGTGCGCATTTCGCGCATATTTTTCCAGCGTCTAATTAAGATGATGAGCGTGTCACGCTTTCGTTTACGATCGTTGGAATGTGAAAACTATAAAACAGTGCTTTTTAAATAATTAGCCAGTTATTATTGTATGAAGAATTACATCAAGAAACTTTCATATGCTTTCGCATGCATTCTTTATAATGTTCTACAATTAAAATTTACAGAACGAAAAATTCTTCTGAATTTTGTTTTAAGACGTTTCTTTTGATCGAATATCTATGAGGAATATATTCGAAAGAATTTGTTTTAAAACAATAATTTATATTTTATAAATTTTTAACACTTGATCTTTTATTAATTTTGTGATATAGATGTTTATAATTGATTATCACTTTGCATTAATTTTAAATTTTTTTTCATTTTATATAATGTTCCGTTTCAATGTTTTTTTATTTCTATATGAAATTAACATTATCACACATAAACACGATGCTTTTCTTGAATAAACGTATATGTGAATACACGCGAGCATAAAGGACGTAACGTTATTAAAGTACACTGCACAAGTTTAAGAACAAAAAGAAAAGATAGAGAAAGAAAATTGATCGAAAGAAATAGAGGGATAGAGAACGTCACACATACGCAACGAATATCGTTCTTGCCGAAAGGCTGACCTCCCACCGACTGGAAATCATGAACGCACGCACGCACGCATTTATAGAGACCTTGTGTTCCTGCTTCGGCCAGTTCGTATCCAAACTCGTGTTCCGGTCGAATGTCGCGTGTTTATGTTTAGCTTCTCGTTCCTTCTCTCTTTCTCCTTTTAGATCATTAGCTGATTTGATTTTATTCACAAATTTCCGTTTTCAAAATAATTCGTAACTTTCTATTAGATTCTATATAGATGTACTTTTTTATTCATTGTGCTGTATAATTAATCAGATGAATTATGAATAATATCAATTTGAAAAGAGATATCAACTATTAGATTAATAATAAGTATTAAAAATAAAATGGAATGGTGAGTGAAATTTATACAAACCTAAAAGAAAAAGATTAAATTTGTAGTTCCACGTCATACCAGATTTTTAGAATGTAGTTTTATGTTATATATTATAGATAATATGGTTTACGTCACGATTTGGACGCATATCTGTCAGCAATCTGCTGCAAATGAATATAGATCTTACTTTTACTGCGAGTTTGAACTCTTCTTCTTATGCTTTTAGATGAAAACAGATGGTAGAGCATGAAGGAGCTCGTTCGACTTCTTCCTGCGTGCCTTTCTCTACCTTCTATCTCCTTATGATATATGAGACTAGGTTACCAGAAAAATAGAAGCAATGCAAATGAAAATTCGTTGGCACAGTACACCTGACATTCTTTTTCATTCTTGACTTGTTTCTTTCATTATTATTATTATTATTATTATTATTAATATTATTATAATTATTATTATTATTATACTAATATTTATGCATCTAGATTTTATAAAGAAATGATTTTAGGTTAGAATTTATAAAACATTTTCGTATATATTTTATAAACTAAAAAAAATAAAAAAAAAATCAGAATTTTGAAAAGTGATGTCAATTACCATGTCTTATCAAACGAAGAGATAATTGTATTGAAAACCTACCTGTAAAAACTTTTAGTCTAACATTTTTATTTTATTTTTCTATTTTTCTTGTTATTCTTGTTGAAATATAAAATATTATATGCGAAATATTATATAGAAATATAAAATTATATATTAATACAAAAATTTATTTGTATAAAATATATATACCTAGAAAATATAAAAATTAGATGAAATGGATTTTATTGACATTTTTAATCCCATTAATAAATTGGATATTGACGATAAACTTCATCAAAAAATCACTACAATCTTTTCAGTCCATGAATTCACAAGAACAAAGAAAGCAAATAATGAGAAAAGAATGGAGATAGTTAAAAATTGTGAAATCAACGCCATCTCTAGAGTGCCGTAGATGAAACACAAATAGACAAGGAAAATATATAATATAAGAAGGACAGAGATAGTTAAGAAATAATCATCAATGCCATCTCTTAAATATTAGAGGTATTTTTCAAAAAATAAGGTAAGATAAAATAAGAATTAGATATTAGCGTTATTTACTTAGCGTTATTTCTGACAAAATGTTTTTCACATTCAAGAGATGGCAATCTAATTCTTATCCTAGAATTTTATCCCTTTATCATTCGAAAAAATATATTTGGCATTTTTCTTCACAGATTCTATAATTTTTAACGATTTTCTGTTTTAAATAAATGTTTAAATATAAATACAAAAATTATATATAAATAAATAAATAAGAAAATTATTAATAAATTGATAAAAAAATTAAATAAATAATTAAATGAATAAATAAATAAACGATAATAAATAAAAGAATCAATAAGTTTATAAATAAAAAAAACAAATAACCATAAGTCTTTAAAAGAATAAATAAATAAAATTAAATAGAAGCTAGAATAAATGAATAAATAAAACTATAAATAAATAAAGAAGAAAATTAATAAATAAATTGTTAAAAATTGTTGAAAAATTATAAATAAATGAAAGAATAAATCTAGAAATAAATTAATTATGTAATAATTTAATAATGAAAAGTAAATAAATAAACAATTAGAATAATAATATAAATAATTAGAATAATAAATAAATAAATAAAAAATATTTATATAAATGAATATGTAAATATAATAACAAATAAATATAAATTAAAAATAAAAATGATAAATAATATACAATATGATTACAACAATATTAAATATTAATTTAAAATAAATATTATAATAATAAGTGATAAAAAATTATTATAAATCTTTGTATTATAAAAATTTAATCAAAGTATTATAATTTTGATCTATTCGCGAAGCGAACTCGTTAGTAAATGACGACTTTCTCGTAACTCTCCTCGTATTTATATAAAATCATATTAAATATAAAAGGTGACTGTTAAACGTTTATACTAAAACTAATTTTTCGAATATATGGATATATTATTATAAATATAATAATTCATCGATTTTTATTGTTTTATTTTTTATTTTTTTATTTTTTATTGTTAATAAGTGATTGTAATGATCTATTACAATTAAAAATTAATATATTAAAATATAAAAATGTATTTACATTTATATGATATTATTTTTCTATTTTTCTATTTTTTATATTTTTTTATCAATTTATTTATTATTTAACTTTTTAAAATTAATTTATTTATTTCTTCTCGTTTATTTTTTTACTTGTTTAATATTCATTCACTTATTTTTCGATTTATGTAATAATTCATTCATTTTTTCCCATTTATTTATTTTGTTTACTTTTTCTAATTATTTATTTCTTATTTATTATTATTTACTATTGTTTTATATATTTTATTCACTTATTTATAATTATTAATTATTTATTATTTTATCTATTTATTTATTGATTTATATATTATATATTCATCTATTTATTTATCTAATTATTAATTTATTTATTTATTATATAAAATTATTTAATTCGTTTATTAAATATCTCACTGACATTATATAAAGAAGAAGATAAGAATTGATTATTAGCGCCATCTTTTAATGTTGCAGATAAAACACATATAAACAAGGAAAAAGAATATTTAAAGAGAGACAGAGATATATTAAAAATATTGTAATCAGCGCCATCTTCAGAGTGCCGCAAATGAAACTCGTAAAGAAAGGACAGAAAATAGTGGAAGAAGGATAGATATAATAAGAATTAGCAACTATCGCCATCTCTTATATGTTAAAGATACTTCGTTGGAATTATTCTTCCAAAAATTCTCAAGAGATGGCGCTTACTGTTAATTCTTATTTGTTCTCTACTTTATCCTACTTTTGAGGAAATACTTTTAGGAATTATCTAAAGATGGCGCTGATAGTCCATTCTTATACTATCTCTATCCTTCTCTTACTATTGCTCTTTGTCTAAATTTGAGTTTCATTTGCGGCACTCTGAAGATGGCGCTGATTTCAATATTTTTACTCTATCTCTATCCTTTTCTCATTATTTCTTCTCCTTCTCTATCTTACACTAGAAAATTCACACCTATGGTACAGGATAGACCTAATAGAGGGCTTCGGTATAACATTTCAGTATCGTTTCCAATTTTACCGATCATCTTATGCAATTTTCTTTTTGATTAATTTTTTTATTATCGTTTAAGTAAAATATAATTAAAATTTTTTAATTGCAATGTTTTTCTCATGAAAAGAAAAAAAAGGAAAAGAAATTAGTTTGTGCAGTTTATTTTTTATATAGGATTCTTATAGAACTGGTACGTACAGTTGAAAATTGAAAAATTTTAAGATTGAATAGTTGAAAAAATTTTACTTATAATAGATGGAATACTATAAAATGTCTTTCCACAATTAAAGAATTTAATAATCAAGTAAAAGAATAATTTTATATCTAAATAGATGTTATCCAAATATATTTGTTAATATATAAATTTTCAAATTTAATTTTGATGAAAGCTACCATAGATTTTCTCGAATTTGGCGTGAGCCAAAAACGGTTTCGATCAAAAAAATTCTACAAATCAAAAAAAAAAAAAAAAATAATACAAAGCAGAAAAAACTGTTCTCGAAAAACCCGTTGAAATATAAATCCTCTGATTCCTTCTTCCCGGAAAAATGACTAATAAATCAAACATCTCTCGATCTCGATCGAAATATCAGATTTTCTCGGTATCTGGACGATTCCCAAGAGTTGCATACCAGACGGCGCAGCGTCGAGCTAATTCAACGAGACTCGATGCCAGAAGAAAATCGCGACAACCTTCGCGGAGGCAAGTGGTGTCGTGGGCGAGCAAGCGGGCATTATTTTCGAACTCTATCCGAAAAGCTGGGCGATCGGTCGAGAAAACTAGATTGAACTAGGGACGCTTAATTGGCTGCTCCGGGCCGCATTCGCCTCGTTTCTCCACTTGGTTTATTTTGTTAAAGCCTTCTGTCCATGATGCATCGTATCAAAGACGCGTATAACGTACGAGATGTAAATCATATAAATGTAATCTCCTATTCAAACATATTATAACAAGTTATATTTAAAACTATGAGTGACAATGAGAGACAATCCTGATGCTTTATAATTATTTTCGAAATGAAAGATGAAAAAAAAAAAAAAGAAAAAAGAAAAAAAGAAAATTTATGCAGAATAAAATCATGCACAATAAAATCACCGATTCGATCATCATTATCGTCATTCGATTTCGTCAAATGAATCGATTAAAAAACTTATTGTCTCACCTAGCTAATAAAACAGATACTTTCCAATATCACGATATTACAAACTTGATGGAGTTCATGGAGTGGCGTGGCTCGCAATGCTGGATTACCCAACGAGTAAAACAAGCATGTGCTTAAACCAACGAGAGAGAAGGGGGCACCACTTTAGAAATTTTCTAAAATTTTTTACAAAACACAAAATTTTACAATCTCTAGCATTTACGATTTATCTTCGAACCTATAAAAAATTAATCAACATACTTTTATTAGAAAAACAAAAAAAAAAACAATTTGTTGATTACTTCGTTAAATATCAATAATTTATAAATATACTCGATTGAAAATTCCTCCTCTATAGAGAAAAACTTGTTCCCCCAAGGAAATCTTGTTCTGAAAATCTTTTTAAAAATGCTCAGGGTCTGAGAACGCTTGATCCGTCGTTGATAAGGAGGAGGAGGAGGAGAAGTTGGGCAGTGAACGGTCGTGGAGGAAGCATTGCGCAATCCTTTGGCGGAAACGTGGGGGACCACATGGCGCGGCGATTCCGTGGAAGGCGCCTGCGTGCTCACGAACGAGCGGCAAGCCGAAAGCTTCCGAGATGTTGATGCTAAATAAAACTTCTAGCTGGTTGGGACGATGCCATGCGTTCTAATTTTCACGAAGGCCGCTGGTGGATGTCGGTAGCCCGGGACGTTGGTTGGTACATTGTTGGAGGCGGATGATACGATAGTATCCGGAGAAGCTGTCCGGCTTACCTGTTCTTCGTGGCGGAGAAGAAACTCTCGTCGAGAGAGGAGGAGGAGGAAGAAGAGAGAGGATCTCGAGCGTAACGTCAAAGAAATACATACATATTTTTCGAGATATATCCTCCTTTTTCTTTTTCCTCGCGCGGATAATACATCATATATTCATCATCGCGGTGGTGGTAGTGGTGGTGGCGGTGGTGGTGGTGGACACGAACACGATACGAAACGTTGCGGTGATATGGCTGTCGCCCTTTCGGCCAAGTGCGTCGGTTTGTTGGCTCTTGTGCTCTTCCTCTACACCTGCTATGCCTTCCGCATACGCGATCACACGATGGGGCAAACGACGGCCTTCACATCATCGGCGGAGCAGCCGCATCGCGCTGCTTGCGCCTCTGCCTCCGGTAGATGCCAGGAGAAGAGGATCACGTTGACCAAGAGGCACGACATCACGGCACAACAGACTCGCGCCAGCATCGCTCGGAAACCACCTGCCGAGCTTGTGTCGTCGCTCGACCAGGGGGGAGGTTGGAGGGGGCGCGCGTGAAACACGAAAGGACTGGGCTCGCGGGGGGGATGAAGGATGCCAGGGCGTCGCGGAGCGTAGAGGATGAGGACGAAGAGGAGGCGATTGTGGAGGTGGAGACTGTGGAGGAGATCGCGTCGAGTGAGGACGACGATGATGAAAGGGGAGGGGAGGATGATGGCGAGGAGGATTACGACGAGGGGGAAGAGGAAAAGGAGAAAGATGCGGAGGATTCTCGGGGAAAAGTAAGCAGAGTAACGGTGAAGAGGAGAATTGTGGGTAGCGGTGTGGAGGATGAAGAGGATGAAGAGGAGGAAAGCGGGAAGATGAATTTAAAGAAGGAAGCTAGTCCAGAGGAAGGATCGATAATTAGATCTAAGAAGCTAGGCAAGGTAGATAAAGATGAAGATGAAAAGGACGAAGATGACGATGATGATGAAGAGGAAGACGAAGAGGAAGACGAGGATGAAGACGAAGACGAAGAGGAAGAATCAAAAGAAGTAGTTCCTACTCCTCCACCGAAAAAACTAGAAAAAGTGAGATACGCGGACAAAGATAAGATTAAATCGGTGGAAGTTACACACGATGAAAAGTCAAAAGTTGATAACGTGATAAAACCAAAAACCGATGCGATTAAGCAACCAAAATTAGAGAGGAAACCAGAGGAAATTGCGAGAAGTAAGATCGAAACGATGAAGACGGATGAGAAAAAGTTGGCCGAGGGATTGTCGAAACCGGTTGAAGCCACGAAGAAGATCGAGCCCGTTAAGATAACGAAACCTGAATTAGAATCGTCCAAATTGAAGATGAAACCGGCGGAAAAAGCGAAAGTTCCGGTGAAACCGGAAGTGTCGAAGACGCGAGAACCGTCGAAAAAGGAAGAAACAACGAGTCCTGAATCTGCTCAAATTAAAGTCTCAAAAATCAAACGATCCGACAGTGAGTATCGTGAAAGATTGAATATTCATTTTTGGCTGTTTTGATTTTCAGAATTTATGCATTATTATATTATCTAAGAAGACGAGGAAAAAAATTATCGGTTGTTTCTCTCTCTCTCTCTCTCTTTCTCTTAATTTTTGTTGTACAGAATGAAAGGGCTATGATATTGTTTATAGAAGATGAAACGAAAGTAAAAACGAAAACGCACGTGGATGCTGCTTTCGCTTTGGCTCGATTGAATGATGCGATATTACGCGTGCCGACCTTCGTGCCAAATTTCACAGCCATTGAAAATTTCGAGTGTCAGCAGCATATCAAAATTTTCCTACGACAGTTAAGGGGCCACAAGTTATGGGCGTTGCAAAGTAAGTCGACATTTTTATCACATTGCGAAATTTCATTCACATTAAATTCGAAAATTCTAAAATTTCAAAAATTATGATTGAACGAAGACGATTTTCACACAATGATAATTTTGTATTATTATATTATATTAACGAATCAGTGCTAGACTCGAGCGCAAAAATTCCATCGGGTCTATTGCGAGGAAATACAAATCAATTTGGAGACTTTGACGAGTGTTTGGGTGTAATGGCGCACGTGAAATTAGATGAAAATACGATAAAAGTCCAAGGCAAATATTGCTTGGCGTACATAGATTTGTCTCCGTCTCATCCAGGCATGAAGCTTCCTGTCAATATGATGCAAGCACGTGCCGCTATCAGAGCGAGCATGCACGATGTAAGTACATTTTTAATTGAAAATTTAATTATTATTACTAAGACTGGTATCCGGCCGTCTTGTAACGATGAACGATCAAACTTTTTTGAGAATCTTGTATCGTAACGAACGTTCAACTTTTCAGAGTGGTTATTTTATTCCAAGATTCCAGACCGTGAAGTGGGCATTGTGTCTTCCGGCAGCGTGCACCGCGGAGGACGCCCAAAGCATCGTTGAACAGGCGTTGAACGGCTATAATTCTACTGTAGGAATTCAATTTATAGTAGATGTCGATCCTAAAATGTGCTATGTCAAACAAAAATCACGAAGCTATTCAAAAGAGACGATCTGTGTTTTGTATGTATCCGTATCTACGACTTTCAATATTCAAATTGAGATAATATGATAAAAAAAGAACATTCGCTTTCGACTCGTTTTAATCTTTCTTAGAGAGAAGAAAAAAAAAAAAGATTGTTAATCGAAGATTATATCGAAGGAACGATATAAATACCGATATAATTTTCTTTTATTCTAATTTCTTTTTTTCTTTTTCTATTTCGTCTTTTACAGATATTTCTACGCAATGGTCGTGTGTCTCGCCATTGTAGCGACCGTGAGGGATTATTTGGTGGTATCGGAAGGAAAAGGTAGATTCTCATAACATTCTATATATTTTTCTGCAAGTTGACGCGCTTACGAAGATTTAGCTTTGCTTCTACGCATTTTCATTCAAAGAGAAAGAAATTAATATAGAATGTTTGAAACGGGATGTTACGATTGATTTTCTTCACGGTTCTCTGCAGGAAATTATTCGGAGAGAATAATAATGTCTTTTTCCTTACGGAGAACGCTCAGATCTTTATTCAAGAAGGAATCGGGCAAAGGTGGGATCCCATGCATTCATGGGATCAGATCGCTCATCACGATTATGCTTTACATCTCCCATCAAGTTATAACAATCTCGATGCTACCATTTTCTAATCGAATCGAGTTCACCGAGGTAATTATGAAAAAATTATAAAAAAAAATCGATTAATTTTCGTTCACTTTTTTGATCTTTCATAAAATATTGATATATTGAAATAGATAACGAACAATCCTCTAACTACCATTCTAAGGGGTGGACTTCTTTACACGGACACGTTTTTATTACTTAGCGGTACCTTAACGTCTTTCAACATGGCACACGAGTTTATAACACGAGGTGAGATTCGCTGGTTTTGCCGTTTTATTGCCAGATACATCAGGTAAGTTGATTATCGATTAATCGACAGTTTTACTATTAAACGAGTTTTTAGATAGCCATTTTGTTTAGTAATCTCTTGAATAAAGGATGAGAATGATTTCGAATACGATGCACAACGAAAAATTGCAGAAAACTTTAAACTGTGTAAACTGAATTTTCGTTCGATTAATTATTGATAAAAAATCAATATTTTTTTTCTACTTTTTCAAAATGTAATATAAAAGTATAAAATAATATGAATTTGAAACTAAATTCGTAATAGCATTTTTCATTTTTATTTATTTATAGGGAACATTTATTGCTCGTATTGCCGTTATTTGGAAAAATATTGATTTACTATTCGTTGTTACTTGTTGTTGTTCAGACTCACCCCAATGTTACTCGTAGTGGTGTTTTGGTACGCATTTATAATGGAGCATACCGGATCGGGACCACAATGGAACGACATTATATTAGGAAATGCAGATCTTTGCAAGAGCAGCGCGTGGATGAATTTGTTGTACATACAAAATTTCTTACCCTTCGAAGAAGAGGTAATTCTAATCCCTTTTTAATTATCACGAATTATTTAAAACTTGAATGAAGAAAAATTGTCAACTTTTTTCATATATATTATTATACAATTCAATTTTTTTCACCGATAGTGCGCAACTCACACCCATCATTTGGCTTTGGACGTGCAATTATCGTTATTAGCACCCATGTTGGTATTCTTTTTGCAATGCAAGCCCATCATTGGGATTCTCGTAATATTTTTCTTCATTTTATTATCAGCCACGCTCCGTTACATAACAACGATGAGTAACTATCTTTCTATCGTTGTTTTCCACGGAATGTCGTAAGTATATACGATATTTTTTAATTTTTTTAATTATACTTAAAAAAAAATAATTTAATTCTTTCGTTTTAGATTGAAACACATTTATAAGACTGTCAATTTAGTTTACATAGTACCTATATACAGAATCACGCCATATCTGTTTGGTGTGACGCTTGGTGTGCTATTACGTTACACCGGGCAAGAAGTAAGGATACCCAAGGTATCATCACGGAAATCATTATTTTTATAGAATATTGTTCAATTTAGATGACTATTCAAATAAACTTCGGTTTTCTCGAATATGATGATTTTTCTTGTACGCAGCGTACATTGTCGTGACTTTTCGTTCCATAATCCAACCAAGATCACGACCAGATCAGCAAACTTGATGCACTAATTTCAGGTGTTAGTGATCTTGGGATGGTTGATCGCAATGGCCTTGGCATCGTGGTCGTTAGGATCACCCTGGCAGTTGGCCAGAAGGGACTACGTTTACGATGTTGTAGAAGCAACTAATTACATCGTGATCAGCCCAGTTGTGTCAGCTTTGGCTTTATCTTGGATCGTGTTTGCGTGCTACACGAATCATGGAGGTTTGCCTTCTTTTTTCCCCCAACTTTCATCAAATATAACACCTTTAAATGTAGAATCTCGACTCAACGACACATTTTTAATTCTCTACAGGTATAATAAACCGATTCCTCTCGCATCACTGGCTAATAATCTTCAGTAGGATATCGTACGCCGTATACTTGACGCAATTCATAGTATTTTTCTACAACGTTGGAACCGCGAGATACTCCAACGAATTCCATTTTTATAGATTCGTACGTACTTCTACCAAACCAAATAATATTCAATATAAAATATTCAACCAACATACAATATATTAACAATCTCGATTAACAGTTAGATCCGTTGGAGGCGGTGCAACGATATCCATATCGATCGTTCTCACTCTGCTCTTCGATCTTCCGATGCAAGAGATCAAAAACGTGTTGATGGAGAGCACGGACATTCTGAGAGTGAGCGTGCCTACCGAGGAAGGATCGGCGAAAACGGTGAAGCTCGAGAGAACGGAAGAGGCGAGGACGCGGGAAAGGAAAGCGTTCGAGGAGGACGAGGTGGCGTCGACCGGTTGGGATTGGCAACGAGACATAGTGGACGGCGGCAATAGAAGGTACAACGAGAACGTGGAGGACGAGGAACAAGTGCACATGCCGATTTTGAAGGCGTCGATCGGCCGAAGGAGATCGTTCATCAGCCGCGAGCCAACCTCGGAGGCGGAGGCCGAGATCGTAGGAGGCAGGGCAACGAGGGACGCGAGCAAAAGGTGGTCAAGCGACAGCAGGGAGCAAGGGAAGAGGAGCAGAAGCGTTCAAAGGGATTATCGGGAGCAAGGAAACGACGCCTCGACTCTTTCCAGAATGCAACAGGAGCGGGAAGAAGCTGTTAAGCGAGGCAGGCGTTCGCTCTCGAGAAGTTTCGACGCTAAGAGATTGTCAACACGGGGCAGCGACGAGGAGGAGGAGGAAGAGGAGGAAGAGGAGGAGGAGGAAGAAGAGGAGGACCGAAGGAGGTACAGGAGATCTCGGTCCAGAGGGAGATCCGTGATTACGGAATCGGACGATTATCGTTCTTGGGAGTTGGTCGGCAAGGAACGTTCATCCTCCAGGGGCCCGGACTCTAAAAGGCTCTCGAGAAAATCGGAGGAGCGCGAGGCTGCGCTCCAAAGACAAACAAGACCGCCACTCTCGAGATACGGGAGAGCTCGCTCGTCGGAGAACGAGGACGAGCTGGTGTCCTCGCAACAGAGGAAAATTGAAAAAAGGCTCCATCCGGCCGTGGAGCCGAGGATAAGCGACGAGGAGGATTGGGAGAGCGAGTTGAGGATACGGAGGAAACAATTTATGGAGAAGCACGCGATCCGGGATCGTTTCGAGGACGAGGAAGATTTAAGCTCCCCGAGAAGGAGATCCTCGGCGGAGGGTAAGATAGCCCTGCTGAAGGAGCCTAGCTCGGACGATAATATGGACTCGTGGACGGTGAGCGTTGGATCGCACGCCGCCGCCCACCTCGGCTCGTCCCAAGAGCGGAGCGAGGAGGCCGACGAGGAGGAGGATGTCGCGTACACGTCCCGGCGGAGGGAGTATCGGGAGCAAGCGCCGCCACCGAGGGAGGGGGAGGGGGGGATGAGGGCGTCTTACGCGAGCAGCAGCGAGGTGACTTCCGTGGAGGAGGACAGCGACGTTGCGGGTTATAACTTCGTGCTGACGAAGGACAGTAGAAAGAAGTCTTTGCAGGATCTCTCGAAGCTGTCCCGGGATGACTCTGATCTGACGGAATCCGGATGGAACGTTGTGAGGCAAGACAGCGGGGAAGGATTGGCCAGATCTTCCTCCACGGGTCTGTACAAACGCGAGTCGATCATAAGGAGCCAGGCCAGCGAGGAAGATCCGGAATATCTCGTGGTGGAGAGACCGAAGCTCGTTCAGCAAGAGCGGGAACATCCCTTCAAGAAGGCTTGGCAGATGCAGAAATCTCGTTCCGAGGAGGATGGTTCCGCCGCGTATACGATCAAAGAGCCGAAAGAACAACAATCTAAAACGGAGACGGCGAAATCGAGAGACGGAGAGGATCCCCCGTCGAGAGAGGAGGTTAAAAAGGAAGGCGGCGGGGAGCAGTACGAGGATACAGGCGCGTTCCCCGACGATGACTCGGAATTGACGCACAGCAGAAGTAGCGACACGGAGGAGTACACGACGAGGAGTTCGAGATCGGAGGGAGCGGAATCTTCGTCGACGGAGAGGAGCAAGAGTTTCGAGAGCAACAAATTTGGCCTGAGATCATCGGACGTCGAGGAGGACTCCTCGAGGTCTAATTGGCCATCCGAGGACGAGCAAGTTTATAAAACAAGTCCGAGGAGTAAATTGGAGGAGACTGAATGGATCTGGGAGAGGGAAGAGACTTGATGGATTTGAGTGAAATCCATCGAAGCAAGAAAAAAGATAATAAACGTAACTATAACGAGGTAAATTATTCGTGGGGAAGTTATTGGTTGGACTCCTCCAGAGAAGAATGGACGAATTTTTCGACGAATGGGAGAGAAAGGTTGATGGCGGATTTTGAAAGGAAGAATGCGAATCTTCGAAAAGTTGGTGATTCGACGATTCGAATCGCTGTTCCTTTGTGAGAAGTATGTATCGAGCGAGTCGATTTATAAGATACTTTTACAATCTGTGTATTATCTTTACGTGTATTAAAAAAAAGAACGATTTGTATCCGCTCTATAGTTCTCTAGTTGTTGAAATTTTAAAGGATGTTGAAGGATGAATGACAAAACCAAAGTAAAAAACTATTTTTCGTTGAACAAAAGTTCATTATCCATATCCCGTTATACTTAATTATGTTGTTGAAATTTGACGAGACGTGTTCATTGTAAAAATATTGATAATAAAATGATTCTGAAGAAATGGAAACTTCATGTAACGAAGTTTTCTTTTGAAAATATCACAATTAATCAAATTTTATTTCAATATATATTTTATTTCAATATATATTCATAGTGAATTTATATTGTTTTGAAATTCTTAATTTTAATCACGCACGATTCTCTTTTATTAATTCTGTTCTTTCTTACGTTCGATAAAATACAAACGAAATTCCAAAGAATTTCGACTCCATACGATTTGAATTTCGATCTTTTTTTCGGAAATGATAAAATAAGAAAAGCAAAGTTTAGCAAATAGCATAATTAATATCCAAACAGCATCTGGATTATAGGACAAATACGACTCAATAAATTTCAAAGAAAGTTTTCTTACGTCACCTATCATCCAAGCAATTTTCATCGACTCTTATACTCGTTTGCATGTAACTTACGATCTACTAAGAACTTGGTTCACTAAAGAAAGAATATCACCGAACGCAATGGAATCAGAGTAAAACGAAAAGATTGCCCTCCCTCGTCGTTACTTTACGACAGGAGGCCTCGTAAAGAGCTCATACGAGCACATAATGGCCGCCGTTTGTTCGCAAGCTGATTCTCGTTGTGGACGTTATCCAAGGGCGGGTGATGTACACGCGCGTTTATAGCGCCGTAGGGATTACTTCCGTTCAGCATAGGAAGCGACCGCAGGAGATGGCCGCTTACAGTGCTTTTCATTGCATCGCAAGCTCGATCGGCGTGGCTTGGCCCGTTTACGCCTGTCACACGGGATCAGCGATGTCTTCATACCACGTACACATCCCACGAATGGATCAGATACTCGCCTACACGTTCGAGCTAAATTGATCGAAAGATCATGGATACGCCGTATTTCATGCTCCAACCTTTTTTTTTTATTAACCTTCCTTTCCTTCCTCTGCACTCTTCTAATACTTTCCGCAGCGAATACGAGATTCTTGCGATTTAGAAAAATTATGTATAATTCTTGCTTCTTGTGCTTCTAATTTGGTTTTGATTTTGACTTTTGTATCGAATTTCGTGGTTCTTTTTAGATCTCTCTCTATTTTATTAACGGAATTGCCAAAAAAGAAAAAAAAAAAAAGAAAGAGGAAGATAATCGAGACACGTGAATCTAATGTTGAATCTCGATACGTTCGATTGAAGTTATTAATTGATCCAGGGATTAATTTTCTTGAAGTACAAGCAACAAAATACACGCAAATATGACAGACTCGGGTGCACATTTGAATAACATCTCAATAATTCGTAACAATTGACCAAATGAGAGCCATCCGGTGGATCTTTCAACCCCAATTGTCCCGGCGCAGGCCGGACATGAATGTAGCCGGAATTTATACGTATAAACGGAGCTATGGATCGGGGCGATGTGATATCAAATTATCTAACAGAATCCTGGCGCGAAATATACGAATACTCGAGGACTTCGATAAGTGGTTCCAGTCCCTAGGCGTTCTCAGGTATGAAACCACAAAATGGCATAGCCATCGTGAGCACGGACGTTCGAGGAATTCGAAACGGTCGAAACGCGAACGGTACGACCTTCCACGGATCACTTGCCACCAGTTTGGACTACCACGGTGCCGTGGCTGTGAGCGAAAGCTTGGAACGGGACTCTTGAGATTCTAGAATCCGAGCTGTACGACCCTTCATAAGATAGGAATGCGACCGCGGTTCTGATTCAGGTGTTTCGAATCTTTGATTGTTTACTTGTGCAAGAATACCATCCTTTTTTAACCTTATCTCGACTCGAGATGGAAACCGATTTCGTATTATTACTTTCGTCTTCTGACGATTCTGGTTCCCATCTAAATTGTTACAATGTTTTGTCACAGAGAAGGAAAGATAAAATTCGAATATTCTTTATTCTTTATCTATTTTGCTTTCACGATAACAGTTATATACTTATATTATTTCTAATTTAAATTTATTTTTAAAAATAAATCCACGCTTTAATTATAAAAAATATCTCACATCCATTTCAAAAATATCCAACTCGACAACATAGAATTTCTATTTCGTCTTATTTTCATCAATATTATTCATTCAATGGCATATTAACGTGCTCGCAAAACTTTTCCATTTTTCTCGAAAAAACATTCGTCTCTCTTTTAATTCTATCGTATCTCTTCCTATTTTATCATCGAGTCCTTCCTCGAACGATTTTCCAATCTTATTCAGACTTATTCCCTTTATCCTTTGATGGCACGTATGTTGAAATCGCGGCTGTTTCGTCAAAAACACGATCCATCGGATGTGATCTCTCTGTCCATCGTCTCGTTAGTAGTCTGCTTATCCGCTTTCCTCCTCGACGAGCTATGCGAACCTCGTGTTCCCCCATCGTCGTTGATTTTCCTGCCCCGCGTCCACGTGTACACGCGCCTTTGTTGATACACGTGCACATACGTACACGAATTCCAGCAGCTGTGTACATGATGTCCCGAACTATATCTCGTTCGAGATATAACGTTTAAACTGATAGGTTATGATGCTGCACACATGGCTGTAATAATTCTCTTACGCGCATTTCAGTCTATTTTTAAGGGAAAGCGTTTTTTTTTCTTCTCGTAGAAAAAGAAAAATTATATTTAGTTTTGTCGAGACGATCATAAAAATCTAAATAAATAATATTAAAATATTATTTTTGTATATTTATATGTATTACATATAAAAGATATTCGAATATTAACAGTCGAGAACTTGTTTCACGAGGAACAGAAGAATTCCACTTTGCACGTTCTTTATCTTTCTCGCATTAAATTTTAACAAGACAAAATTAACTTCTAAGCGAATAACGAACGGATTACTTCATAAAGTTCCACACATTTTTCATTTTGGAAAGATAAAGTTAGAAAGTTCATACGTAACTTTGTAGAGATGTACAAGCGAGAACAAAGAAACACATATAAAA